GCCCTGACTGTGCAGCTGCAGCAGGAGCTCAAACTCAGTCGGCATAGCGTGGACTATTCTTTTAGGTCGTTTGTCGTCATAGTAGTGACTAGTGAGGTTGTGGAGGCTATATGGGTGGATACTGAAGGGCCAGAATCCATACAGATGAACATTGTTGCAGAGCTCCAGCGCCAGGCTGACCATGCTGATGCCAGTGCTAAGCTGCACTCCCTGTCCTTTTATCCCCTGAGAGCTCCAGAACAGGTGCAGACTCCGGAAATATTCAGGGTTTAAGAAGACGGGTCTGATGGGGCTGTCAAAGTCCTTGATGGTATCGAAGACCCGCATGGACACAGGAGTGTTTAAGGTATAGGAAAAGGAAGGAAGCAGCAGCAGGGAGTTTCCATAGCTGCGCAGACTCTCCACAAGTGGACGGCGTTGTCCCATCAGAGCCCCATAACTGTAAATAAAGGGCTGATGTGAAGCAACAATATAAAGGGAATATTATGTATTTAAGGTGACAAACACTCATTTTCTTGCTCACCTGTTTACAAAGATACTCGGATTTGCTGTAACAAGGTCAGTCTTGATACCAACATCTTTTTCGTATCCGTTGTCCACAGGAGGGAGGTTGCACCTGAACAAACAGCAAAGAAAGTATTATGTGGACTTTCCATGCTAACTTTGTGGATTATTGCTGCCATCAGTCCTGTACACTGGACATCTTTCTCACCTGATGACAAACTGAGCCGAGTCGATCGCATTTCCACAGCTGCTGTTAGTCAGGATCCCACCACTCCCAACAACGGCACATGTGTCCCATGTTTTATTTGATAAAGGACTCTCCTGGAATCAACAACAGAAAATACATTACTATATAGCAATATTTATAGTATGTGTACATTTTGTCTGTCTGTGTGTGTGTGTGTGTGTGAACGATGCTCTGCTGCACTCTGGGGTTGACGTAGAAGAGTGAAAGAGCTAAAAATTTCCATGACATTGAAATTCAGATGGTGAGCAAACACCTTTTTTTTTTTTCTTACTTATATATGGAGAACCACTTTGAACCTCCAGAACTCTACTCGGACTAGACTATCTGGCAAGATTTCTGTTTTTGTGGTACAACATGTCATACCTGCTAAAGCCTCGGTCACAACTGGGTGCACGACTTTTGGGATCATACGTCCTCTGCGAATTTTCCTGCCGGTTTCCTGCCTGCATTCCCCGAGCCAGCATGTATCTGCCCCCAGCCTTGTTCCAGCTTTTCCCCAACCCTCACCAGATCCCGGATTCCCCGAGCCCGTCTGCCCCCTTTCAGCTTCTGTAACCTGTTTTGAGAGAATCCCTGTTTTGCTGGTTTAATCTAGTTTTTATATTAGGATGACTTCGGTTTCCCCCACTGTTCTTACTTTAAAGTTTTCTTAGGTTTTTCTAGTTTTGCCCCCTTTGTAATTAGGGTCCGAGCACCCAAAAGGGTGCAAAGACCCTATTGGAACTGCTCGGATTATTATTATTATTTGTGCCAAAGACACGCGTTTTTGAGGCCCTAAACATACTCGAAAAC